GATTTCATAGAAGAAAAATATCATCATCAGAGTGGGTTTCAAATCTGCAAAGTCCAAGAGACACAGATTTTAACTCTGGTGACAACTTGACTAAGACCAATGAAGATGGGTCCATGAGTGAAAACTGATAATAAAAGAATCACACAGTTGAATCCAAGGGGGATGTTAGTTCATTATCCTTACTTAGACCCCTGCCTTCCTGCACCAGTATGGCAAAGTCAGACCTTGCCACACACAGACCAAATTAAAAACCTGACAACACTATTTTTTATTCACGACCAAAGTCTTGATGCAAACTTGGAAGGCTAAGTGAAATAACAATTCAATTCTTTCTAAAGGTCTTGATTTGGTTGAAGAAAAAGAAGAGCAGATTACAAATCAAACCTTCAAGTTTAAAAGAACTGACAAAATGCAAATAAATGTGCCTTGAGGATTCACGTTTGAATGAGTTCATTGGAAGTGCATCCAACTGGTCTTAGCCAAGCAGTTGATGCAACAAAATCTAAATTTGTCTGTGTGGGTTCAAAACCTGCTAAAGATGAAATTGCAAGTGATCACCAGACTCAAAATTTGTTTCTCCTGAACCATGATAGGTTTCAAACCTGTCAATGATGAATTTTTTTTTTCTATAAAAATATGCTCTGATATGATTTCTTTATGGAGTTTGAAAATCTGTTGAATGGTGCATTTTGCTATTAGAACATGTCTTAAATATCTGCTCATGGACAGCATCTCAGACATCAATCTTGATAAGGAAATGTCAAGGTGTGATTTCATAGAACAAAAATGTTGTTATTGGCAGGTTTCAAACCTGCACAGTTCAAGAGAAACAGATTTTGAATCTGGCGACAACTTGACTAAGATCAATGAAGATCAACATCTGAGATACTGTCTATGAGCAAATATTCAAGACATGTTCTTATATGAAAAAATGTGACATCCCATAAGTTTCAAACTTATTGCACTCCAATGGAAACAGATTTCAACTCTGTGATCAGAGCCACTTGACCAAACACAACTGTGATTGGCTTGCAAGCAAACCGACCATGAGCAAATTTTCAGGTATGTTTTCATAGAAAATGAAATGTACCACCGGCAGGTTTCAAACCTGCACAGTCCAAGAGAAACAGATTTTTACTCTGGTGATCACTTGGCAAATTCATCTTCAGCAGGTTTTGAACCCATGCAGACAGATTTAGATTCTGTTGTATTTAACCGCTTGGCTAAGACCAGTTAGATGCACTCCCAATAAATACATTCAGAAGTGGTTTTATTTTATCCTGCTCAAACCTGCCTCTGATTAGCTGACAAGCTGACTGTGTTACAAGCATCCGTAACACCTACTGGAGCCCCAGCTCTGCCTACACCAGCCCCCGCTCTGCTAGACTCCTGATGTGGCTGCACGCCGCCTGCACTTAGAAAGACAGCGGTCTGGACCGCAGTGACACCGCCCCTGGCCTAGATGGCCTTGTACCTGATCCATGGAGGCTGTACGCCTCATGGTCACCCTAGATCAGCGCATGTATACCTCATGCCGCTTCATGAAGATCCGGAGCGCCCTTGGCACCTCATGTACTTATGCGCAGCCGCACTTGGCGCTGCATGCTTGATCAGAGGTTAAGCCTCATGTACCTTATCTGAACCTCATGTCTTGTTATCATAGATCCTAGATATACTATAGATTACAGACTGAGCTTGAACACTTACATGTAGCACATATAAGTAGACAGATTATTGTACTTAGACTTTACTTTAATCTACTTGGTTCTATCCTGAAACTTGTTCAACTAAGCCTCCCAGCTTAGTTGTCTAGACCGCACTTCTAAGTCGCTCTCCGCTTCTTAGCCGTATCCGCTAGCCCTGTATCTCGACGAGCGCCGTCTTACCGAGATAACCGGAGGAACCCTTGACATTCCGTCAAGCCGAGAACCACCCTTAGCTTCATAGGCTCACTCGAGCCGTCGCTAAGAAGACCTATCCAAGTTCACACACACCGACCGACAGTCAGTGTAACAGACTGACCATAAACATATGTCAAGGTGTGCTTTCATAGAATAAAAATAAAAGACGGGTTTCAAACCTGCGCTGTTCAAGAGAAACAGATTTTGACTCTGGTGATCACTTGATGATTTCATCTTTAGCAGGTTTTGAACCCACACAGACAGATTTAGATTCTGTTATATCAACTGCTTGGCTAAGACCAGTTAAATTCACTTCCAATGAACCCAATGATTCAGAAGTGAGTCCTCAAGGTACATTTATCTGCATTTTGTCAGTTCTTTCAATAGCATGATTACTGTCGATTCTTTTATAATGCTCTTATTGCAAAAAGACACAGACTCCTGCTGGGGCTCTTGACTTCAAGACCTGTTTATCTAACAATTGGCCTGAAAAAGTGCTGAATAACCTGGGGAATGAGGAAAAATACAAATCTATCTATTGAGGCTGAGATTCTTTATTGTGCTTATTCAACAAGTGGTTGCCAGAGTCAAAATATATTTCTCTTGAACTAAGCAGGTTTGTAATTTGTATAATGATGTGTCTTTTGCATTAACTCGTGATTTATCACGTTCCACCATTTTGGATTTTATAGAATAAAAATGTTGTTGTTGGCAGGTTTCAAACCTGCACAGCTGAAGAGAAACAGATTTTCAATCTGATGACATTCAACAAGTTTCAAACTTGTTGCATTCCAATGGAAATAGATTTTGATTCTGTTATGACAACCACTTGGCTAAACACAACTTTGATGAGCTTTTAAGCAAACTGACCATGAGCATGTGTCAAGGTGCATTTTCATATAAAATGAATCTTATCACTGACAGGTTTCAAACCTGCATAGTCCAAGAGAAACAGATTTTGACTCTCATGATCACTTGGCAAATTCATCTTTAGCAGGTTTTGAACCCACACAAACAGATTTAGATTCTGTTGTATCAACTGCTTGGCTAAGACCAGTTGGATTGTCAAAATGGGAATGAGACCAAGAAAATTTGGAATGGACCAATGGTAAGAATACAATGTACAGGAGGCATGAGTCAAGAAAGGGAAGCCACATGTGTGGCATGAGTCATAACAAGATATGTTTTTTTATAAAACCAAAATAACATCACTGTTGGCAGGTTTTGTTACAAGTAACATCGGTCACATGGCTCCCCTATCATTTTCCCTTCATCCTGGCCCTCACCATCTACCAGCTCGTCCTCCTTTACCGACTTTCCATTGACCGGATCCTCGGGACCGTTCCCATCCCTCGCATCGCCCGCCTCTATGCACGTGCACGCACGTTCCTCCCCTGATTCGACCACCAATGTGGTCCTGCACCTGTGACTCGGTCTGACTCGTGCCACCAATGTGGCTTTCCTTTCCTGTTCCTTCTGACTGCGGATTCCTGCACGTTGTACTCTTACCGTTGGTCCATTCCAACATTTCTCAGTCTCATTCCACATTCGACCACCCACCACTAATTCGGCTCTGTTGCCAACGCACCTATACCATTCTCGTTTCCCCTCGACCCTTACCTACTGTGCGGTAGCCTTGCCCTTAACCCTCTCCACTTAGTATAAGTAGTCGGTCACCTTGTACTAGATTCTCTAACTTGAATCTACTCAATCTTCCCTGGAACATACTTCCCTCTAAACGCCCCTTTGGCTTCAGTCTCTAGTATCTTTTCTTAGTTGCTCATCGCGACTAAGTCTACCTCGATCGACCTTATCGTACGGACAAGACTGTCCTTACCTTAAGCGACTTCTAAGACATCCGTCTCCGAAGTCACGTGACACGCGCGTACTGTGATCACTGCCGACTCGTCGTCGCCAGTCTCACTTGCTATACCAGATCCTTCCGGTTATGTCACGAACGTTAGCAGACGACGCCCCTCTTAGGGCTCCGCCTAACAGATCTATTTGAGTGCGTAACAGGTTTCAAACATGCACAGTCTGATGGAAACTGATATTGACTCTGTTGACCACTTGACTAAGATCAGTAAAGATATGTGTCTGAGAAACTATTCATGGGCAAATATTTAAGACATGTTTCAACAGCAAAAATATAACATCAAATGGGTTTCAAACCCATGCATTTCAACAGAAACAGATTTTGATTCTGTCATGAGAACCACTGAGCTAAATGCAATTGAGATAGGCTTTTGAGGAAACCATACACAAGTGAATGTCAGGGCATGTTTTTATAGAAAACGAATGTTGCAATTGGCAGGTTTGAGCAGAATATACAGATAAATGTGCCTTGAGGATTCACTTTTGAATATATTTATTGGGAGTGCATCTAACTGGTCTTAGCCAAGCAGTTAAATACAACAAAATCTAAATCCAACTAGACCTAATATCTTCTTAGATATATGATCTATAGATAAATACCTATAAAACTAAATATCTCTATGGTCAGTGACTCAGACAAATACCAATAGCTGATAATGTGGTCGTTCGTGGGTGGAGTCACTCTAACAGTATAGAGATGACACAAAATGAAAAGACCCTCTTCTTAATGCTTCACACAGCAACAATTATTTGTACACAAACTTAATGCAGCAAGTTGTGTAGAGTTACAATAAGAATCCCCCTCAATACAAAACAGATGAAACTACTATTAGGCCTAGTTCACCAATACTCCACAAGGGAAAAAGGGGAAGGCATCATGAAGGCCAATTTCATCACCATCTATGGCTGCGCTCACCTCTGTGCACTCATACCAGACCTCATTCACATAGCTTTCTGCAAGACTGATGTCTGGTCATTTAATGGTGACATCGTACCTAGCAATATGCTGGCTCCAAGCAAGGAAACATCAACTAAGTCCTATCTTCCAATCACATCATCCTTGCCCATTAGAATTCTTGCTGATGTCATTCAAAAGATGTCAACACAACTTAGTAATAACAGATATGAAGAAAACATTCAGTAAGCTCATCATAGGAAGATCTTGAGACTATCATCTAATGACTCGCTGAAATATCATTGTCAAAACTTGTCTCATCAACACCAATGAACTCGCAGACTGACCTACAGCATGCCACAGCCCACACTATCTCCCCCATCAAGAAATTGCATGCACCTGTCACAAACATTCATCTAGCAACTGCAAATAAAATTTTGCTTCTTGCATCTCTCCACCAAGCTGAGGCAGCCAATGTTGCACTGAAAAAATGCATTATTACACTCCAGGCATCCAATGTCTTGAATGAGATGTACTGTGTCAAAATTCGCAGTCAGCTTGCTCACCAGGAGTCAAAAAAGCAGGTAGGAAACAATGATAGAAAGATTTTTGGGAATGGCTTACTATTCTTGTTGTCAGGCAATGATTTCTATGAAAGAGTTGTTTAGTTCGAGGAGGCTCAAACAAGAGCTGCAGCTGAGAAGAGAATAAGGACAAAAGAGCGAAAGAGACATGCTGAAGCATTGACAGATTGGAAGAAGCTTGAGGATGCGAGGAAGGCAGAGAATAAGGCACAGCAAGAGCACTATTACAAAGCATTACAGATATTAACATAAGTGCATAAATTCACTGGATGCTGAGCTCTCATATTTTTGTACTTACATCAGGAAATGTCAGGATGTAATTGCATAGAATAAAAATATTACCATTAGCAGGTTTGAAACCTGCAAAGTACAAGAGAAACATATTTTGACTCTGATGAAAACTTGACTAAGGCTAATGAAGATCTATGTCTGAGATGCTATCTAGGAGCAGATATTTAAGGCATGTTCTTATGGAAAAAATGTGACATTCAACAGGTTTCAAACCTGTTACACTCTAATAGAAACAGATCTTGATTCTGTCAGGACAACCACTTAGCTAAACACAACTCTAATGAGCTTGTGTTAAGGTGTGGTTTCATAAAAAAATGAATTTTATCATTAGCAGGTTTGAAACCTGCACAGTCCAAGAGAAACAGATTTTGACTCTGATAATCACTGGCAATTTCATCTTTAGCAGGTTTTGAACCCACATGCACAGATTTCAAACAGATTTTGATTCTGTTGTAGCAACTGTTTGACTAACACCAGTTAGATCCATCTTTAAAGAAAGAAAATATTCAGAAGTGAAACATGATGATGAAAGGTCTCAAATACAGTGCACTTCAACCTTATACATAAGTGAATAATGGCCAGATGGCTATTTTGAATCTTTGCCTTGAATCTCAGCCTTGACAGATGTGTATTCTTCCTCATTTCCCAGGTCATTAGGATCAAACTTGAAAGTTTGATGTGAGATCTGCTCTTCTTCTTTAACCAAGTCAAGACCTTTGGAGAGAATTAAATTGCTCTTGTACTTATCATTCTGAATTTGCATTAAGACTTTGGTCATATATTGAACTTTAAGAGTTTAGTTTATGAGCAAATTAGGTAAGGTGATGCATGATTCTTGCTTCCACCCACCTCATAGTTGAATCTTTCTCATCTTAAGCACTCAACTCTAGTCTTAGTTTTTGTAGCCCTATTCTAAAAGAATATTTAATGGAGATTGTAATGAAGCCATAAGACCTGATTTTACTGTGATTGATCATCAAGATACTCATAAACATACATCAACAAAGCCTTGTGGGTCAAAGATAGAAAATACATTTATACTACATGGCAGTAGGAGAAAAGCTATAGAAAACCCAAAGCATGATTTGAGGCATTTGTGCTCAGGATACGGAGCCACATCACATGAAGTCCAGAGATGTCCTTGGACACAGAAAAGTGCATCCACAAACACCATATAAAGCAGATGTTTGGGAGTGCAAGCTACAATATGAAAGTACACATAAGTTAATGCCAAGATGTGTTCTCCTAGGAAAAAACATATATCATTCATGAGGAAATATTAAGGTCTGATTTCATAACATAAAAATTAAATCATTGGCAGGTTTCAAACCTGCACAGTCCAAGAGGAACAGATTTTAACTCTGATGTTCACTTGCAATTTTATCTTTAGCAGATTTTGAACCCACACAAACAGATTTGGATTCTGTCATATTGACTGCTTGGCTGTTAAGACCATGCACAAAGAGTAGGACTGATTCTGAAGGGCTTGGCTTCAGCTCATGTGCTGTGCCCCTTACCTAAGTATGTGCCCATAATTCAGATGACATCTGGAGGAAGTCCAAGGAAGTCCATAGGACTTCCGAAGGAGTGCGGGAAAGTCTGGAAGGACTGTCTGGATCCAGATGAGTGCAAGAAACTTCTGGAGGGGTGCGGGAAAGTTCCGGAGGAACTTCCAGAAATTACTATGAGGTTTCGTCCTGGTACAGATATGTGTAATGGCTACTCAGGATTCATCCTGAGTAGAATGGAGACAGAGGAAAGGCTGCAGGGAAAAAGTCCGAAGCAGAATAGGTCGTAGGACCATGGGAAAGTTCCAGAGGAACTTCCGGAAACTTAGAGGAATGGAGGATCAGAGGAGGAGTGGAGAAGTGGAGCTCCGGCCTAGGGAATTCCTCCCTAGGCCTGAGATGGATATTGACTTAGTGTGAGGTCTAGTGCGAGGACTAATATGTGTAATATTCAGACTAAGGAAATACAGGAGTTTCTACAGGGTTTATATACTAGGGAGGACATAACAGAGAATCAGTCAGCGCAGTGCAAGGCTATGTGAGGCTATGGACGGAGCATGTGGAATGCCTAACACTAGTGCATCAGAACTTAATAAAATGAAGATAAAAATGAAGCAGGTACTGAAAATAAAGATTTTGACAATTGTCTCATGAGTGATTTCATCAAGAACTTATCTCAACTGATGTTAGCCATGTCATTGCCACAATAGATTCAAAATCTGTTTCCATTGAAGTCTACAGGTTTGAAACCTGTTGAGTGATGCATTTTTTGTATTAGAACATGTCTTGAATATCTGCTCATAGACAGCATCTCAAATGTTAATCCTCATTGGTCTTCATTGAGTTGTCATCAGAGTCAAAATCTGTTTCTCTTGAACTGTGCAGTGTTACAAGTAACATCAGTCACATGGCCCCCCTATCATTTTCCCTTCATCCTGGCCCTCACCATCTACCAGCTCGTCCTCCTTTACCGACTTTCCATTGACCGGATCCTCGGGACCGTTCCCATCCCTCGCATCGCCCGCCTCTATGCACGTGCACGCACGTTCCTCCCCTGACTTCGACCACCAATGTGGTCCTGCACCTGTGACTCGGTCTGACTCAGTGCCACCAATGTGGCTTTCCTCTTTCCTGTTCCTTCTGACTGCGGATTCCTGCACGTTGTACTCTTACCGTTGGTCCATTCCAACATTTCTTGGTCTCATTCCACATTCGACCACCCATCACTAATCCGGCTATGTTGCCAACGCACCTATACCATTCTCGTTTCCCCTCTACCCTTACCTACTGTGTGCAGTAGCCTTGCCCTTAACCCTCTCCACTTAGTATAAGTAGTCGGTCACCCTGTACTAGATTCTCTAACTTGAATCTACTCAATCTTCCCTGGAACATACTTCCCTCTGAACGCCCCTTTGGCTTCAGTCTCTAGTATCTTTTCTTAGTTGCTCATCGCAACTAAGTCTACCTCGATCGACCTCATCGTTCGGACAAGACTGTCCTTACCTTGAGCGACCTCTAAGACATCTGTCTCAGAAGTCACATGACATGCGCGTACTGTGATCACTGCCGACTCATCGTCGCCAGTATCACTTGCTAAACCGGATCCTTCCGGTTATGTCACGAACGTTAGCGGACGACGCCCCTCTTAGGGCTCCTGCCTAACAGATCTATTTGAGTGCGTAACATGCAGGTTTGAAACCTACCAATGATAACATTTTTATTTTTATTCTGTGAAATCACACCTTGACATTTCTACATGAATCTTAAAATGAATTGGACATTGTTTCCCACCCTCAGAATTTTGACCTCACTGCACCATTCAATGAGTTTCAAACTGTTGAGGTGCATTTTCATAAAATAAAAATGAAATCATTGGTAGGTTGCAAACCTGTGCAGTCCAAGAGAAGCAGATCTTGACTCTGGTGATTACTTGCAATTTTATCTTTAGCAGGTTTTGAACCCACACAGACAGATTTAGATTCTGTCATATTAACTGCTTGGCTAAGGCCAGTTGGATGCACTTCCAATGAATTCATTCATAAGTGAATCCTCAAGATACATTTATCTGCATTTTGTTAGTTCTAACATGGATTTCTAACATCCCTCTTGAGTCCAATCATATGTGATCTTTCCATTATCAGTTGTCACTTATAACCCAGTTGTTAATCCAAAGACATTACAAACATCATCAGCCCACCATGGTGGTCTGCCATCAGCACATTTTTGAGGCAAACACTGGATAAATAAGTCTTGAAATAGAGGCCCAGAAGAAGTCTGATGTCTTTTGCGATACAACTAGAATAAAAAAATCAATTGCAGCAACCATATTATTGAAAGAACTGACAAAATGCAGATAAATATGTCTTGAGGAATCACTTGTGAATGAGTCCATTGGGGGTACATCAAACTGGTCTTAGCCAAGCAGTTAATACGACAGAATCTAAATCTGTCTGCATGTATTCAAAACCTGCTAAAGATGTCATTATCAAGTGATCACCGGAGTCAAAATCTATTTCTCTTGGACCATGCAGGTTGAAACCTGCCAGTTGTGACATTTGTTGTTTATGAAAAACACACCTTGATACATGCTGATGGTTGGTTTGCTTGCAAGCTGATCAAAGTTATGTTTGGCCAAGTGGTTGTCATAACAGAATCAAAATATGTTTATATTGGAAGGCAACAGGTTTGAAACCTATTGAATGTCACATTTTTTTCTATGAGAAAATGCCTTGAATGTTCATATATTTCTCTTAAACTAAGCAGATTTGTAATCTGTATAATGACATGCATTGAAAGAACTGACAAAATGCAAATGAATGTGCCTTTACTGCAGGCATTTTCCCATTTTCCTTCACCAAACATCCAAAAAACATTAATTGAGAAGATAGAATTTTCCCCTCATTTTGTCTGTCAAAACATTGAAAAAAGTAATTTATGTTTTAATGATTTTCTATGTATGGGACATGATGCAAAAATTGATCATGTTCCTTCAAGGATAATGCTATATTTTCCATCTATTGTCCTGTAAATAGCAGCTTACAATAATGTTGGTTTTCTTCTCTGTATTTTCAAATATACTCATCTGTTAAGGCCAATATTCAAGGCAAAGATTGAAAAGAGCCAGCTGGCCACTATTCACTCATATATAAAGTTGAAGTGTATTCTAACTGGTGTTAGTCAAACAGTCGCCACAACAGAATCTAAATCTGTTTCATGATTGGACTGTGTCCATATAGGTTCAAAACCTACCAAAGATATGTTTTTTTCTGCTACTGGATTCATGTTTAGGTGGTTTTCTTGAAGGTCCATCTTAACTGATCTTGACCAGCTGGTTACTGCATTTCTTCTTCTTTAAAATACATCTTCAAGGCTCACCTATATACAATCCTGCAAAGACTTATTTTTACTGGCTTTGGTTGCAATAAAAGCAGAATAAAAGAATCAACAGTGACC